AAATGTAGGCAGAGCAGGGCAAGGAAAGGACAGAGCACATCAGCATATTTTTTTAATTACCTAGCATTTGATTGATACTACAATGGTAACAGTGCTTTTAAAAATAAAAATATTTACTATCCTTTCTTCTTCAGTACACAGAGGAGTTTGGCATATATATATATATATATATGTATGTATGTATGTATGTATGTACACTTGAGATTCCAGAGCAAGTGTTTTTTTTTTAATAGATCACTTAACCATTCTGCTTTTCTTGTCAATATTTCAGAAGTTGCACCATTCAAATAACTTAATATTGTTCTATGTTCATCAAACCTTCTGTGTGATCATATAGATGCTTCCTTTACCATGCAGATTTTTTCAATCAAATATGCATGAGAAGAGGGAAAATGAAAAAAAAGTAGGCCAGGTAAGTACCCTATTTTTCTGTCTGTATTTAATCACAACCTAGAAAGTCAAAGCGAGCTGGCAAAAATTCTGCTTAGAAACAAGATGTTTGTTATCCGCAGTAACGAGTGCGGTGTCATTAACAGCTTATTGGAGCAGTGCCGCTGCCTGTTCGCTCTCCCGTCCTCAAAGAGGCGATGGATGGGCTGCTGACCCAGATCGGACGCGTAAGACGAGAACGATTCCTCCCTGACAAGCCCCAGCAGAGACAACTGGTCATTAATTGTAAAAATTCTGCCAGCGTGTGGTTTTAAAAACAATTTGTACGTCTTTAATTACTCTGCCAGGGCAGGCTTTGTCCCAGACACTCTTATCAGGCTGAATTAGTCTTTAAAAGAATTCGGCTCAGCCCAGCTCGAGCTGCACTCACAATCTTCGCTAAGAATCTTTGCTCGGAATGGGGGGGCGAGGGGGAGCGTGCAGTGGTGGAGCGCATGACAGTAATTGTCACCAGAAGGAAGAGAGAAACTCTGTTCCCGTACTGTTTTATTATTCTAATGATGCAGAGGGGCCCTGGCGGAGATGGCAGCCCCGCTCTGCTGGGAGTTACACAAACACTGAGCTGGAGGGAGAGTGCCTGCTCCCAGAACGCCGGCTGGCTAAGCAAGGCAGCGGGGCCAATGCCAGGGAGAAAAGGGAGGGCTGCTTATCTTCAGCTGTCCCGCGGGCAGCCGAGCACACTTTTATGGCTGTACCCTGCCACATTCTCTCTCGCTAATTTTTTTCCCCTTCCTGTGCATTCAGCCATGAGCTGGTCTTTGGGGATCACACAGGTGTGCGCTCAGGTTTGAAGGACCTGGCTGTCCTTGTGTGGGACGGAGCCCTTGGTGAATGCCCTGGTCACCCAGCAGGAGTGTTTGGGCTGTCCTTTGGGGCGGAATGAGCTAGCTGGGCGAGGAGATGACCCAAGGCAAGGCGTTATCACCTCTCGATCTCTCTTTGGGATTTGTAGCCTTATCAGGGGGAACTGCCCAGTGCTGCACTTGCTGATAGGGCTGGCCCCGGGCGTGGGGATGTGTAGCCATGGGGCTGATAACAGGAACTTGGCAAGGGAGGGAGGCCACTGGGGAGGAGGACAGGCCCTGAGCTCCACTGGAGCCTGATGCAGACCCCAGGATGGGCATATCAGCTCATGCCAGTGGGGCTTGTCACTGCTGCTTCTCCTGCTGGGGATGGCAAGGTGAAGGTAACATTCCAGAGTGAGCTGACCACTTTCTTGAGGCTTAAAAGGAAAATATACCACCTTCAGTGCATACTGCCTCTCAAACTGCACCTAATTGAAATACCTAAATATGCTCAATTTATGTGGAGCATTGACTGCATGTGGTGCAATACATGGCTGCAAATGATATGATTGCATACTATAAAGTTTTCTGCTGGGCTCAGTTCCCCCAGAAATTAATTTTGCCTACTGTTTCTGTAAAGTCTCACATCTTTTTTGAAAGGTAAGTAACTATTCCCATGTTGCAAGTAATGGGGATTTGTAATGGCATTTAGGGCTGGATTAATTTCTGTGTGCTTTATGATTTGCAGAAGTTTACAGCACTATTTCCAGACTGCTGTAGGTAAAACTTAGCTCCTTTTCCTTGTAGTTCAAGGGCAAGGCAAACAGTAAAAATAAATATTTCAGCAGCATATCCTACTCCTGAAAAAAACAAGTCAAAGATTTTAAAGTATGACAGCGCAGGGAGTTGTTTTGCATGAATACTAAGTATGTCTACAGCCTCAAAAAAATCTTCTCTAGCTGGAAAACACCATCATCAATAGGTCTGTGAGCTTCGAAGAGCAGTGTCACGTTTGCAGAGAGCAGGAGGTGCTGCACCAGGTTCACTAGGGGGACCATGCCCCCCTAGTGCATCGTCCAACAAGTTCCTCATCCAAATGTTTTAACAATTGTTTGCTTTGCCCGGTGAGTGGGGTGAATCCATTTGCGCCAGATTAGTCAGTATTTTCTGAGGAACAGAAAAGTACCATGGTAGCCCATCAAAGAGGGCCAGCAGGGACTTGCCAGGCAGCCTTTGTTTCCCCTTTCACACCAAGCTCCTTCTCAGCCGTGGGTCTGCAGTCAGACTAGAGGAGGGAAGTTGGTCTAAAACAGAGTATTTCCACATACATGGCATCAGGTACATCTCATCTCATCTCATCTCATCTCATCTCATCTCATCTCATCTCATCTCATCTCATCTCATCTCATCTCACACCTGAGGAAGAGTCTCAGGTATATTTTGCTGGTTAAGGGATGCACAGCGGCACAGGAGCAGCGATGTAATTAGGCTGCCTGCTCCCCTCTGATGCCTGTTACACAACAAGTATCTCCCCATACAATCACATCGTGGCTGTGATTTCCTCCCAGTCCTGCCCATTGCATCTGAAAAAGCCTCCAGAAAGCAAAGTGTTCTGCTGTTCAGATTGGCAAAAGTGTCTTTACCATGACTGTAGAAAGCCTTGCTTCCCCTGCTCCCCAGCCCTTTCCAAAGCTGCAAACATGTCCCTTGTTTTACACAGAGCAAGGGGGAACCATTTCCAGGGTGAGTCTTGTCCCAGCCTGGACTGCAGCTCAGGCCAACTCTCTCACTTGACATTTTTAAACCTGCTTAGCTAAACCAAGACTGTCTAGGAGTTTCCCTTTAAACCCCAAGCTGTATCTTTCCAGACCCCTTCCTGCTGGCACTGAAAATGGAGTTGACTTTCAGACAGGCAAGAAATCATCAGCTCATGCTGGCACAACTTTTTAAAAACTCATCAAGAAAAGCTAGTAAGTTAAAATAATATTACTCTACAGCTCAAACGACTACTCCAATTGGAACCAGTAGTTGCAGAAGCAATGGGAACTGTTCCCTACTGAATGCCCAGCACGTTCATGGTGCCATGCAGCCCCTGGGTGGGGTTGTCATATAAGGAGGAGGTACTCTTTTTTTCTCTAAAGCAGGTACTCAGGCACCTGTCCAAGCACAGACACGTTAGCCGACACAGAAACATCCAACCATTCCTATTTTGAAAGGCTGCATTTCTCTGCAAGCCCTGGGGTGCTCTGGGGCACAGGTGGAGGGATGCCACAGTATTCCTCTGCCCATGTGTGGGAAAGCCCAGGCAATGAGGTTAAAGACACAGGGGGACAGTGTGGAAAACAAAAGACCTGTCTAACCATTAGGGAGCAGGAAAAAGAGGAGGACAGGGGCAGGAGACAAGGCTGTGTTGCCAGCTGTACTTTGGTGGTTGTGCAACATCAAATGCCAAAGTCTTCTTTAGGAAGAGAGTGGGCACTTCTTTTGTGGAGACCCACCTGCATCTCCAGTCAAACCTGAATGGCCTCTGGGTGGGAAAAGCTTTTCCAAGCACTGAGCAGAAAGGACATTGGGCATGTGACCCACCACTGCTGGGGACCAAGGTCCCAAATGTCCTCATGTGTTGTCTCAGTTCAGGGCTAAAAATGGTTTTTGTCATTTCTTTAGCTTTATTTATGAGCCTTTGCTGACTGAGTCCCAACTGCCAGTGTTTGTGTGAGTTACTATGTGTGATTGGTAAGGGGAGAACCAGATGCAATCTGGGGCCCATGCAAACCTTGTTACAGAGTATTTGCTTTATTTTTTCTCCTTGAGGTTTGCAGAACTAGTTTAACAACTGTTTTTTCCCATAATTAAGGCATCTGAGGGCTCTTTTTTTTTTTTTTTTTTAGCAGAAAAGACTTTTAAAAAAGCACTTTAAAATGCAATTAGAGGGTATGTGAAATACATGTTAAAACCTTGTGACCCTCACAAAAATCTCTGGGCTCTGTTCTACACTTCTGTTTTGCGAACACCGTGTAATTCCTTGAGAGATCCAACAGGCACCTGAAGAGTTGCTTAAGACCAAAACACTGTTGCTTAAGAACAGCGGCAGCGACCCTAAACATACAGTGCTGCCAAGCAGTGAAGGAATACTGAGGCAGATTAACCGGACTGGTGGCACTGGAAGAGGCTGCCCTCCCTAGAGACCTTCAAAACCCAGCTGGAGGAGTTCCTGTGTCACCTGCTCCAGATGACCTTGCCTTGGCAGGGGGTCGACTCGATGATGTGCAGAGATTCCTTCCGGTCCTAACGATCGTCTGATAACGATCCTGTGCAACAGGACCGCCAGATCGGAGACTTTGTCTTCCCCTCTACCACGCGCCCCCGCCTTCCTCGCTGTGCTCTCCCCTCCCCCTTCGGGCGGCATCCTGGTTCCTTCCCTTCGCATTTTCGTGCTTTTTTGTTTCTAAGAATCACCGGGGAGCGCCGGGCCCCGGCGCGGTGACATCCCACAAGGGCCTAAGGGCGGGCGGGGTGTAGGGCAGCTCGCGGTCCGACCGCACGGCCGAACTACACAAAACCGATCCGTCTTTCCCACAACGCCTCTCCCGCCTCCCTCTAGCTTTGCGGGGTACTCGGGAGCGGCGGGGCGGCCGCGCTGCTGCCGGGCCATGTGCGCGGCCGGGGCGGGGCGGGGCGGGGCGGGCGCAGCCGCGCTGAGGCGGGGGCGGTGCCCGGTGCCGCGGAGCCGCCCCCGCCGCCGCCCGCCCCGCCCCAGCCGCAGCTCGGCGCGGCGCGGCTCGGCATGGCGGGGCTGCGCTTCCCGCAGCACGGCGGCTACTGCCGCGCGGCTGCGGCCATGAACCTCCTGCTCGGCGTTTTCCACGTCCTCCTACCCTGCTTTCGGCCCGGGGAGGCGCAGGGACAAGGTGAGAGCGCCGGCGGGGCAAAGCGGGGCGGGGATGCCGGCGCTGCCCGCTCCGGGCTTGAGAGCGGAGCCGCCGCCCCCGTCGCCGTCCCTCGGGCGGCTGCCGCGGTGGCAGCCCGGGGACACAAAGGGGGCCGGGACGCGGCTCACCTCTCCCCCCGACTCCGGTTCCCTTCCTCTCGGCCCCGCGGTACCCGCCGGGCCACGCGTCTCTGCCGGCCCGCCCCGGCGCGGGGAGCCCCGGGCCGCCGCCTGCGGGCTCCGGCCGCCCGCCCCCTGCCCATCCGCGCTTTCTCTCTCTCTGCCCCCGCAGCCATGGAGCCCATCCCCGGCGTGGTGGAGCTATGGCAAGCCGAGGAAGGGGAGCTGCTGCTGCCCGCCCAGGTGAGGGGCGCGGGGGGGGGGGGCGCGGAGGGCCCGGGGCCGTTGCGGGCGGTGCGGGGGTGTTGGGGCCCGGCGGGCGGGCGCGGGGCCGGCGGGGCGGGGGCGGCCTCGCCCGCCGCTGCTGTCACGGCGCAGCCCCGGCCCCGCGGCCCCCCAGCCTGGCCAGCGGCGTGCTGGTTCGGCTTCATTTATTTTCTGTTTGGGGTCCCCCCCTTTAATTATTTATTTATTTTCAACTAGTGCATTTGTGGTCGGAGCGCACCAGACGGGCCTGTCGTGAATACGCATATATTTATATCTCAGGCCTGCTCAGGTGAAGCCATTTTTCCCCCCTCAAATGACACATCATTTATGGTGCCGTTCCTCTCATTCTAGCGCATTTTGTTTTTGTCTTGTTTAGCCGCTTTCGTTGGGCAGTAACAAGATGTGATAAATTCTGTGCTGGCGAGAGGAGCCAATATGGTACAATGCCTGGCGGGGCTGGTGAGCGAGGAGGAGCGCTGGGAGCGGGGTCTGGAGTTTATGGCATTTGAGGCAGTCATTTAACTCGCACTGACGGACTCTGCCATATGTTGAGCTCGGCCTTCTAGACTTCCAGGCACCAGGCTCATAAACGGGAAGAAGCAGTCCTTAGAGACATCATCTTATATGAGGGGCAAAACTGGGTAATTTATTTGTCTTAAGCCCATATATCATTCTCTGTTTAGTGCTCAGCCACTGCCACCCATTAATGTAGGGAAAAATAGCAGAAGTGCTGTTTCTTAGCTAGCTGATAATTGATGCTGCTTCCCAGCACCCAGCATTTTGTACTGTGGTGTTACGAAGTGTTATCTATTGTATGTCCAAATGATTTTATAAGATACATTTGTTGTGCTGTTGAGATTTTGCCTGTTGCAGATGTGGTAGTAGCTAAGGGGAGGTGTAGAGTCGCTGTGCAGAGATGCTTGAGGAGCACAGCCTTGTGCATCTGCATTCTTTACAGTGGAGATATTAAGATGCATTAGATGTAGAACTGTGTAATGTAGTCATTTATAGTTGCTTCTCATAGCGAAGCTGCAATTGAGTGATGATGACGTGATGTTTACTTCCTGAGGAGATTAGGTCCTCTTGGAAAACACTTTGTTCTTGAGCATCCTCATAAAAATATGCTTTAGCTTGGCTAAAGAAAAACCAGGCATAAATGACCCGTGAATTTGGCGTAGTTGAGCATATGGTCTTGCTCAGTTCTTGCAGCAGTGAAGACAAAGCTGAGGCTGCTGTTCCTCCATCATTTCTGTAGAGGTTACAGGCAGGAAAGAAAGAAGTCTTCTGGCTTCAGTTGTGATGGAGTGAGAAGTAAATCACAATAGGGTTGCTGCTTTGGGAGGTTTAAAGTCAGATGAGCTGGTCTCTGAGTACCAGTGGTGCATTGACTGGTTTGCATGGTTTTTCCCCTCTGAGCTTGAGGACTACAGCAGCATCTGATGCATGAGTGCCTACTCAAGCTGAACAGAAGGACTAGGCTCCTCAAACAGGTTTTAAGACAAAAATGTGGTTACAGACCCTGATGCTTACTTTTGTGTTTCCATCCAAATGTGGATTTGGGCTTTACCCAGCCCTTGTTGGGCTTTAGCCCTGTGGCCACATTTGAAACCACCTTTTCCATTTGTTGTGGTGAGGAGGAAAAGAGGTTTCCCAGAGTCCCTGCGGATGTGGCGAGGGACCCTTTCAGCACCTCTTTTATGGAGCGGTGGCACTGGTGCGCAGTGGCTGGTCATGGCTTTTCCCTGGATGCCCAAGGAGTGGAGGGCTGCCCATCCAGCCACGATCCTCTGGCTGGTGTTTGTGAGGTCCTAAAGACGTGTCAGCATCGCTGCCCTCCTGGGTGACTGCTGGGATGGTGAGGGGCATCAGTGGAGAAGCCAGCATCAGTTCCTGAGATGTGGAAAGTCGCTACATCTGTTAGCATCTGGCTGCCCTTTGTTAGAGAGATGTTTAAACTTGCAAGAGGTTTATTGCTTGTTGATCACGTTTCACTTTAAAAAATGGTCTGACCTACTACTGCTACAAGGAGGTTTTCCATGTTCTCTTTCTTGTAAGAACAGAATTTTTCAGTTAAACCCTTGATGAGGATTGTTGCCCAGTGTTCATGTATCACAGCAGTGGTGATGTGATGGTGAGGGTGCAGTAACAGGGAGAACTTCCTTGCTTTTGAGTGGTTAATAAATGTTGTTTGGTAGGGAATATCCAAGAGTTGCTTCATTCCTATGTTTGAAGATGGGTCTTGATGAAGACTTTGGGAAGAGGATTGTTCTGGCCCCTTGATTTTGTTTTTCCTGCTTCTTTTTGGTGGGAGTGTGGCACCAATGAGGATTTCACCTGCAGAAGTGAAAAATCCAGGGAAGGAACTGTGCATAATCCTCTGCCAAAGCACCTCTCTCCAGCTGCTCTCAGCAGGAAAATGGATTAGGTTGCCCTGTCTGCCAGCCCTTTAGCCTGTTTCTGGCGGGTTACCAATGCTGTCTGTTGGATGTTTTTCTCTTTCTGTCATGCCTTTACACTATTATCTTATTTTCCATGCATCATCAACTGCCTGCCTGTGACAGAGCAGTTTTGAGCATTCCTTGCTGCCTGCAGAATTTGAGGATGAAAGTTGGGTGGATTGGTAACCCATTCAGCCATCCGGTTGCCTGCGCATGCTTTTGTTCCAGGAGCATGTAGCGAATAAAGACATCACGTTAAGGGGTGAGGGAGGGGAAAGAAAGCGTTTTAATATTTGTAGTTGCTTTCTAGGCCTTTCACAGCATCGCTTTGTCTACGTGAACTGCATGAATTTGCATGCTGGAGCGCAGCCGCCCAGGGCCCCCGTGCCTCCACCCCGCTTGGTTGTTCTACCTTCTGTTTCCTCTTGCTTCCCTTTCATTGTTTGTGCTTCTCGTGTGCCCCCTCCCAGCTTCCCTCTTATACGTATTTGTGCTTTTCCTTTTTTCTCCTCCCCTCGGGCTTGTGGGCTTTTGATTCTGGCTTCCTCTGAAGGCTGCAGAGCTGTTTGGGGATGGCTCACCTGCTGCTCTTGCTCCGCAGCCGAGCCCAAGGGTGCCCGGAGCGCTGCAGTTGGTGACGGTGTGCGTGGGCTTGTGTGCTGGGGCTGAGGGGGAGCTGGCTGTATCTAGCCTGCTGACTGTCTTCCACTGGTCTGCTGCTTCCTCCAGCATTTCAATGTTTCTTCCTGGATTCCCTTTTTAGCTCTGAGACCAGCTGGTTTTTCCCAGTCGGATGCGGTGGCTGTATTCCCTTGTGCCCGTTTCTTCTTTCTTGTTGAAGGTGGTGTGAAGCGTGGAGTAACCACAGAGCACCCACTGGCCTTGCTCTCCTTCTCCTTGCTCTTAACCTCCCTTTCATAGCAAATGTCCTTGGGATGGGCAGCTGGATTTTTCTTTGAAAACCAGTGGGATTTTGACATGGAGAATCTTCAGTGTGAGAGACTTGATTAGAGCAGTTGTGGTTTTTATAGGTCCCTTATAATTTTGTGGTTTTGCATGTTTGTTTGCAACTTGTTAATACATACTCAAGTAAAATGCTTGAGAGAAAAGCTCCTTTATGTGAGACTTGACACCCAAGCCATTCATTCACCACTAAAGGCTGAAAAAGCTCCAGATATTTACAGCCAGGTTGTAGCACTTCAGTGCAAAGCTGAAGGGCAGTTAGTTATGTTTTAAACATAACATACACATACAAGTGTAGGAAAGAAATACAAATGGCAATTGTTGTTCAAGGCCTCCACCACTTAAAAGAGGTATCAGAGAGTCATCGTTGTGTGTTTCTGTCTGTGAGAAACCATGTAGGTGGTTACTGGGAGCATCTGAAGGCAGGGGCAGGCGGGTTGGGTACCTGCAGAGCGCTTTCACTTTGGCCCCTTCAGTTCGGAGAAAGGGACTACCTTAAAATGACGTAATGAAGGTTAAGTTTTAGTTCTTGTTATCACAGCTGAAAATGACAGCAAGTCATCAAAGTCAGTGTGTACCAAACTGTATTTTGATGTCAGTGCAGTGCTTGACTGATGTGATGGGTTTTCTCCTGTTCCTGTGTGTCACATGTAGGAGATGAGCAAGATGTTTCCTTAGAGGAACACCTTGTGAATGTTTCAGTTTGGTTGCATATTCTAAGGAGATTACAATAACTTCTTGTTTCACTTTACTGTGACATTGTTTCAGGTGTTTGAATTTTAGAGGAAGATACAGCAGTGTTTACTGTATCATAGTTGTTATAGGCACTGAACAAATACAGAACTGCTGGCTGAGTTTTCATTAAAAGGCTCTGCTCAGGTTTGAAAGATGTTATTTTTCTCTTTTCCCAAGTAGTAGGAGCTTGTCTTCAGTTTCTGTTCTTCAGTGCAGCTCAGGGGCTAATAAGGTTAATTGTTCTGCTGGTTTTGAAAGCTGATGAAGATCTTGATCTTACGTGTATTCATCAGAGATAGGCGGCACTGCAGCGTGTCATTAACGAGCCCATGGGCTGTGCACAAATTAGATGTACAGAGTCACCTACTTCAAAGCAGGGTTTGTCTGAAGACACACAGTTTGTGTGAAAGTCTGAGACAGGCTTGGAGTGGGAATTGTGTTCCTCTTTGGGCTTTTAAAAGGCTTCTCCAGACTGCCAGCTGAGCTTCTGGATGGTGCTGATAGGACTTGGGGCTGGATGGCCATGCAGATTATGCAGTAGCTGTCAGCTCAGGCTCTTGAGACTTGTGTGACACAAGAGGGGTGCTTTCAGGGGCTTTCCAACAAAGATAAGCACCTGCCCCATATTCAGGATAGTGTTAGGAGGAAGGGATTTTTTTTCTTCTCATAGGTAGACTGTTGGGAACTGCATTTTGACTTTCAGGAGGTCTTGCTGCCTTCCTTCCCCCTGTAGTCCTGTAGTTTGAGAATACTAGTTTCAGTGTAAACCTTCATGCACATGTAACCTGGATCACACAGAGTAGTGAAGACAGGAGAAAGCTGGACATTGAGGTCTGTGTATGATCAGAGTTGAAGGTGATTTTTAATTTTTTTTTTCCTTGCACGGTTGAGATGTGCTGTGGCTGCATTGTAGACTGGGAAGTTTGCCTCATTGTTGCTTGGTGAAAAGTGAAGGGGAGAAATAGTAAGGTGGCTAGTGTTAAGGGTGAGCACAGTGTAATGACACAGACCCAGGTTTCTGATGCCTGGCAGATGCTAAGCCATTTAAAGGAGGAACTAAGCCATTTAAAATGAGGATAGGTTGCTATCTGGCCGTGGCAGAGGCGCTGTTTCTGGAGAAGGTGGATAAGGAGTCCTCCAGTTCTGCTTGGTATTGTACTGAGGTCCTAAAAATACAAAAGGAGCTCGGAGAAGCTGGAAAATGTGATGGGTTTGTATCATGCCATCCTGGTGAAGTCTAGCAGACAGGCTTTGCAAGGTCTCTAGAGGAGATGGCTGGGTCTTCATGGGGGCCAGGTGCTGGGACCTCTAGGTAGATCTGAGCTGAAGAGCTTTGTTGTGTCCTGCAGATCCTGGACAATTAGCATGGTGTTTCCGACCTCTGGGCAGGCATACAGAAAGATTGTCAAGTCCTCAAATTAGCTTGTACTTCCCTGTCAATCTTGTTCCATATTTGGTTATGTTATGGTGGAGGCTGTGCTGTGTCTCTTGTATGAGCTGCTTGTGACAAAAGATGAAAGTTCAGATGTGTCTGGTAGCTTTTGGCAAGATCTGTATTAGTATTATCCATAAGGTCATTATTTTAGACACAATAATTATTAGCATTAATCTTAGCATTCAGCATATTTGCTGCCATAGTGTGGTTGTCGTTTTTCTTCACTACATGAAGCTCAGATCTTCAGAAATCCTGCTGCCTGTCCCATTCAGTAGGCAGGTAGGACTGCCTGATGTGCTTAACATCTGAAGCCCGTAGAAAGATGTTTTGTGTTTAGAGGTGATTTTTTTTCCCAGTAGGTGGTGAAAATAGGTAAAGTCAAAGCTGGTGGCTTGGGGCCTGTTCCGTGATACGCTTATGTGGGAAACATGTAGGAGGGGTGGTGGAAAGTACAGCCTTTTAATTTTAAAAGATTTTTTTTCCCCTTACCTTTTCATTGCTAAGGTCTCTAGTTCGTAGAGTTTGTAGAACCATCACCTGCAGAAGCAGAAGCTGGGAAAGCTCACCAGCTGTTCCTGGCAGGATGACTGTGACCTCCTCCTGAAAAATGTTAATTGCCCTAAAGTTGTCCCTGGTTTCATCAGCAGGGGTTGAGTGGCTGTAACACACTTCATTTTGAGTTTGTACCTAAAGCTTTCCTGGAGATCTTGGCCAGTTCAGAGTAGCTACCTCCTTGTTTTAAGTGGATTTCCTGCAGGGAGCTCATTGAACCAACACTTGAGTTCATTTCTGTAGACAGCTCAAAGTGGTTAGTGGTGAACTGCAAGCTGACACAATTCAGCTGCATGTCTTGAAAATTACCTGAGTGCAGCAGCTGAGCTAAGATGATGTGTTCAGAGCTTCTGCTCTCTCTGCTTTCTGGGTTTGGGACCTCACCGTGCCAGTTGGAATGTGGTACTTTGCCTTTGCTTTTGGCATTGACAGGTGATCTGCATTTCAAGGCATTCTGCAATCTATTTCCCCAGGTACTGGCTATTGAAATTTACTGATGGGGCAAAAAATTTGAAAGTAGAGGAAATAGTCTTTCTGTAGTTTCAGGGTAATTGTTGGTTTTAGATTCTGTGTGTGAGAGGATTTTGTACAGATGCATAAATGGAGAATGAGTCTGTTCGCTCAGCGTTTGGGAAGAGCCAGCAGAGTACCTAGGTTAAGTCACCATTTATCTTTTGCAAGATGAGCTGAAACCTCAAATGGGATGTCCATCAACCACCTTACCTGACTTGTAAAGGAGTTATAGGAATTCTAAGTTTCTGAATTTGTTTTGCTAACAAGTCACATGAAAATCCATCTGTGATGGAGTTAAAGTGGTATATATGTCCAGTGTAGCATGTTGTGGTTCTGAGATTCTTACACAGTATTTTCTCTGTTTGTCAGGCTGATTCGGAGGAGGATGTGGAAGAGCATCCACAAGAGCAAAGGTAAGGTAAACTCAAATGGAAACAAGAGCATTGAAGTTCATTTTGGTTTTTGCTTTAGGAAATACCAAAGTGTAATTAGGGCAGACTACTAAAACATTACTTTTTTCTCCTGCGTGTTAAATAGTTCTTTATTACTTGTGTCTTACAATTTTCTGAACTTAATGTTAATATTGATTTATTAGCAAAACCAAAAAACCTGTGCTCAGCATATGCAAGTACAAAATACCTTCTTGCATCTTTTTCTCCTAATCCTGTCTCTAAGATGAATTTATTTCTCATTGCTTTCACACAAAAAATTTAAATGTTTATTAATTGTTTTGTTGTATATTTTATAATTAATTTTTTAAGGCAAGGGACAGTGGTCCATTACAAAATTTGTAAATGTAAGCAGTCTTGGAGTGCTAATTTGCACCAAGGCAAGGGAAGAGGTGAGGGAGATTTAAAGCCAAAGGTTTATTAATGTGTTGCTATGGAACAATAAATATTCTACTCTTATGTCTTGAAATCAGATAAATAATGAAGCTCTTCAAAACTATAGCCACAACTCTGTGGTTTCTGTTAATATCAGGCCTTCTGTTTGGAAGGGATGGGTAAATAGCATCACAGATTATTTTTTAAATATGCATTTAGTTTCCTCTGAGCATCCAGGTTAAAATGCTTGGACATCTACCAGTGAAACGCTTCCTTCCTTTGGTATGTGTTAATGTGGTTACAGCTTTCAGTACCATGCCAGCCAGAAAGATCACAAGACTTAAAACAAACATGTGGAACAGCACTGTTTTCTGATGGCAGCAGTCAGCCACAAATGCTATTCTCATTTATCTCCAGTCTTTGCCCTTCGCTTGGTTCTGAGAGCAAACAGATCTGATAACACACAAGCCTTGGAAGCTGGCAGAAGGAGTGAGCCTGGGGAGCGGGAACGGGATGGTTATGATGGGTCTGTCCTGCACTGCAATGCTTCTTCACATGGCTTTTCCCCTTGCTGCCCCATTGGGAGCCTTCTCATCTGAGCCCAGCATCACATTAAGGCTCCTGTGCCTCATCTCCGTGGGAATTACAAAGATGGTTTGGAAACAGGATGTGAGAATTACTGTGGCTGCTGACAGCTGGTGCTGATTACTTGTGCTTGCCTAAGTGCCCCAATTCCTACCTGCAGAGGGGATTTTTTTTTCTTACCTCCTCTTGTGAAAAGAAGGGTACACTACTGAAAACTGCATTTCCCTGCACAAATACAGAAGTTTCTGATTTTTTTTCATCTGGGAGCTATTATATTTTGGATGCAGAATTTTTACTGTGTAACTTTATTACCTGCATGCTTTCTTTATTGAGAGGTAGTCAGAAGGAAGAAGTCTCTAGTGCTGTGCTTAAGTTTGTTTCTGATTGTTTCCTTAGTAGTCAGAGAGATGTAATTTAGATGAAACAAAAATTCTCTACTTGCCTGTTTTTCTCTGGAGGTGGATGGGGTAATTGGCTGCTATGGCAATAATAAAAATATTGAAAATAATTACCTCTTGAGACTCAGAGAGGAAAAAGTGATAAGTGATTTGACTGGGTTTTTTTTACATCATTTAGGTGCTTAAATTTTTTTTCTAGTAATTATTAATTTTCAAAAATGAATTTGTTTTTTGGGAGTAAAGTTTGTAGAGGTTCACTTGCATCGTGGAAACATCCTTCTATTGTCATACTGAAATGCTTCAGGAAACTTGCCTGAACAAATCCTGGCTTGTGTGCATCTTCTAAACTATTTTGGTTTGCTGCTGTATGTAAACACATACATAGACCTGTGTGCGCTTTACAAACTGAAGGAATGTTATAGTGTGGACTTCACGAAAAAGAGGCAGCAAAGGTACCTTGGAAAGATTAGAATTTCTTAGTTTATTTCTGGATTAATTTTCATTCCTGTAGCTTACATTGCTATATGGTGAAATCATGGGGATTTCCTTTTCCTGTAGCAGCAAAACCTGAAGCTTGCAGCATCTTCATCTCATTGTCTGACTGCATGCCCTGGGGAAATCAGCTGAAGCTACTGTAATTTGATGTGAAGCTCCAAGAAGCAAAGCACCTTAATGTACGGGATAAACAGAGGTTAAAGGAGCTAGAGAAATCAGAAATTTCCCCAGAGATGAGGGAAGTATAGGGAGTTCATAATCTTGGTGCATAAAGGAGAAAGTCTCTTTCAAAAACATTGTTTTATTCAGTTTTTGATTCTAGGTTAGTGGGTTCCTTGGGAGCCTGTTAACCTACTTTGAAAAAAGCGAACACAACAAAAGCAGTGAAGTATTAACAGTCTGTTAACGGACTTCCTGTGCATGTGCATCATCAGATCTTCCTTTTGGGGTGGTCTTCTTGGTTTGCTGCTCTTGTGGCAAGTGCACAAGGGAGATGAATGTGATCTTACCGTTTCTGCCTTAGGTTTAGCTTTAACAAATAGAGAAATTTGCATGGAGGTGAAAGACATTGTCAAAATAGTAATTTCTGTGAAGAGCTACTTCAGAGGTGAATGAGAAATGGTTGATTAGGTCCATTGGTTTGCAGCTGCCCTGAGCGAGGAGAAGAGCATTATCAACTCTTTAATTTCCACCCTACAATTCCTGCTATTCTGATTGCTTGGATGCTTCCACAGGTTGCTTCATGCTGTTTTGTGTCTCTCTGGATCAGATTCTGAAATAAGAAATGCAGCGTAGTAGACACTTGAGTACTGCTTCAGGCCACAGACTTTAACACAATTAAAGTCATGTGTATTTGTACTGGCCTGTCAAAAAGCTTCGAGTTTCCTAAAAACCTTTTCTTACACTTGAAAGCTAGGAGTGAAAAGATGTCTTTCATAACAGTCAATGACAGATGTTGACTGTTGTTGTGTTTGGAGGTTAGGTTTTTTTTTGTTTTTGTTTGTTTGTTTTGTTTTGGGGTTTTTGTACACCTGCCCCTTAATCCAGGTGATTTTGGTTGCCACAACTGGCAGTTACAAATTTTGAAAGTTTAGGTTCTTGCTAAAGCAGCATAGTGAGTCAGGACCCAAGGGAATGGCCTGAAGTTGTGTAGGGAGGTTTAGGTTGGATATTAGAAAAAAGCTTTTTCAGCTTTTCTTGTGGGCCACTGGAACAGGCTCCCCTGGGAAGTGGTCAGAGCTTCAAGCCTGACAGAGTTCAAGAAGTGTTTGGACAACACCCTCAGGCACCTGTGTGGCTCTTGGGGATGGTTCTGTGCAGGGCCAGAAGTTGGACTTGATGATCCTTGTGGGTCCCTTCCAACTCAGGATATTCTGTGAAATGCAGAAGTCTGGCACAAATAAAGAGACAGTACTGTCAGGTGACGTGCACAAATGATGCTATCAAAATTTTTAGCCTTCTCCTTCAAGGAAGTGGACTTGGACTACAAAAAAAAATTAATTTCATGTGTATGTCATTATTAGTACTTGGGTTTTGAGGACTTCTGGAGAAAGGTCTTTGAGGATGCAGTTTTGCAGCTGGCACATTAAGGAACGTTTGCACCAGAATAAACTGCTGTACTCAAGTGGAGCACGCATTCTTAATATGTGATGCATAGTGATTGTCTATGAGAAGGGAAATCCATAAAATATTAGAAGTATGGAATGAAATTAGCCAGGAAGAGGACATTTTCCAGCCTTTTCCTATGGCAGGGCATACTTTGCTTAGAGTTGATGGGTATCAACTGCTAGGAAAATTCCAAGTGTGATGCATTTGGCTCAGTCAGGCATTTCTGTTGAACCTTTGCCTTTGATCTCTGGAGAGCATTTGACCCTGTGGGCTGGAGCTGCTTGGAGCAGTAGGTGGTACTGGCTCCCAGTGGGCTCTGCTAGGGTGTCAGTGCAGCCTGGGTGTGACAGCTGATGCCCAGCACTTTGACCTCTCCTGATTGCTTGGTGGAATTACTCCTAATCCTGTTGTTTTTGCTGTGCCTGTGAAATAGTGCTCCGGATACAGAGGAGAAATTGAAGGTAGAGGTAGCAAGGGAGCAGCTTAGTAGCTGCCTGAGAGAGAGCAAAGCAGTGGAGGTGCACAGACTGCAGAATTGCTAGGGGCTTTAGGGAATACTGAGGAGATGGAGTTACAGCGTTTGTTTCAGGAAGAATCCGAGTGGCAGTGGGAGAACGAGCCTCCTGTGCATTTTGAGACTGTACATTGCAATTCCTCCCTGGCCACAGCCTCATCTCTAGCCAGGAGGCACAAATGAGCTCTGGCACTGTGGATGGAGTATTAAGACACTTCAGAGGTGACTCATCCTTTCAAAAAGCTTTGGTGCCATCACTTGGTCTTGGTGCCATGACTTTTGACAGTCCCAATTAGAAAGTAGTGGCGTGGGACTAGTGGTATGCCTGTGTGTCAGATAACTAGCTTGGGTGGTGGCTATGGCAGGAAAAAAAAAAGATTGAAAAATAGGTTAGGATCAACCAGATTTTCTTTTTCCTTCTGCTTTTTTTAACTGAAATGACTAAAAATTGATTTTGTGCCAGCAGAAATGTATGAATATTAAAAAAAAGGTTTATGTTGTATTTATTTTTAAATATCTTCTGTTAAAATCAAAATCAAAGTGAGTGAGTATGCATTGAGAAAGAGTTTCAAAATGAAAAGTTGAAAAGTAGTTCTGAGAGTGTCAGTGAGTGCTTAAGCTGTCTGAGAGGAACCATCTTAATATTTTCAACCTAAGCTTGTATGGAGTACCACTGATCATTTAGACTGTCATTAAACTTACCCCAAAAGTAAATTTAACTACATGAAGACTTTTTCTAGAATATATGCTTGGTCTTAACTTGTAATAGTTTATATATATATAATAAGCTGCTTTTATTAAGAGTTTAGTGTTTTTAAAAATTTTTCTTTTGCAAAACAAGCAAAAATCCATGTGTGTATTAATAAAGAAAAGAAAAAGTGGAGTTTCTTGGGAAAAAGCTTTTTAGTCCCATTACTGTACTTGCATAAGGTACAATTTCTGCAGTATGCACAGAATGTATGTTTCTAGTGGTTAGCACTAAAACCTTC